TGTGTGCCTTGGCAGTCTAACCCTAATATACGAATGATCAGAGCCGGTAAAATGTTGAAGAAAAACATCTAGGTTTATTTGGCGAGAGGGGTAAATGGATACCTAACAATGCGGGGGTCAATGGTTCTAATCCTCAACATGTGAGAGGCAAAATGGCAAACTCCATTGCATACCTTATTTAAGAGGCTGTGGTAATTTAAGTGAAATAAATACGGAAGGTCAGTAAAGTTAGAAAGATAATCAGGCTTAATTCCTGTTTTTTCTGAAGGATATAGGAAACCTGGATCCAGTGTGGTGGTTGACGAGCATAAATTTGACTTTCCCTTTTTTATTTCAATTCCAACTTTGGTCACGAAGAATATGTTTCTCTGTTGTCCCCATTCATAAAGCATAACACAACAGAATCAGAGCACGGTGCAGAGTCTCTAGATGAGTTTACAGTAGTCCCTCGTTCTACATCCTATATCCTTATACATCCGTGTTGTAGTCCGCTATATAGAAAACTGTAGTTTCCGGACAGCAGCAGAGGCTGCGAAGCTGTTAAAGTCCGGTTAGCTCAGCTGGTTAGAGCGTGGTGCTAATAACGCCAAGGTCGCGGGTTCGATCCCCGTACTGGACAAAATAACTTTTTCCTCAAACGCAAAGCTAGTAAAATGTTACCAGAGTATTTAAACGGGGGAAAAAAAAGGGAATCAAACGAGTAAATATCTGTAAATAAGTGTCTTTTTCAACACGGAATAATTTTGCGGTTAAAATCATTTCTACAAATGAAAAATGACAATTAATGCATAAAAAATAATTAACTTAATGTATTACTACTTGATACAGAAATGTATAAATGATGACATAGATAATGAAATAAATATTGAAATGCAGCAAAGTGGGAGCAATGCTTTTTTAACATTTTCTATTAAAAGTCCATGTCCAAATTGCACATTTTGACACTTAACGGCAGCAATGAATCAAAGAAAAGCACAAATTAGTAATAAAAAGTCAAATAAGTACACTACTGGCAGTAGTTTGAAGAACTTGGTGACATAAAAATAACTCATTAAAGTATCGAGACCTCATAAAAAAACCAATTTGGAGTGTTTCTTTAAATCTAAGTTTTTAAATAACAGTGATTATTGCACACTACAATTGGTTGTGTGCACAATATTGTAACAGTTTGTGCGTGTTACCACATTTTTTAAAACAAAAAATAAGAAACCTGTTCACCAGTTCCATGGAAAAGGAGAAAAGTGCTCATCTGACTGAGAGGCGAAGTCCCTCCCTTTCCGGTGGACCTCCATGGGACCTTATTTCGGGAAAAGTATGTATTGAAGTCAATGGCGAGAGAAAAGTTATCTTTCGATCCCGTTTGAATTGTGCCACGAATTACACATATGATGTTTGTCAATCCATCCATCCATCCATCCATCTTCTCCCGCTTATCCGTGGTCGGGTCGCGGAGGTAGCAGTTCCAGCAGAATGGATGGATGGATGGATGGATTGACAAACATCATATGTGTAATTCGTGGNCCCCCGGGGGAGAAATGCTAACGCTAATGCTACATTAGCATCAGCGATCTTTTCTACTTCATGCTATCTGCTCAAATGGTTGACATTGAACATTAAAAAGATCAGGCAGTTCAGGGAGAATCGAAGGAAGGCAGGCAGCTTTGCATGACATTCTTCTGGACGTGTTTCCTTGTGGTGATAGTGACAACGCTGAAGTCTTCCGATTCAGAGCTCCCGATTCGGCAGTTAAAGGTGGGGTAGGTAATTTTGGAGAAACCAGCTCGAGTGCGCTAGAATTTGAAAATAAACAGCCGGAAAAAATCTAAAACTTCCTTACAGAGCCCCTCCTCCAACACACACGGACGTGCACATGACCAATGAGGGCACGAGATAAGTTTGTGCACAGATGGAAGGCTGACAGGCAGGTAGGCCATCCAGTTATTTTAGCCGGGCCGGCTAAAATGATTGGTCGTGCTTTTTACAGCGCTACGGCTTCCCCAGATGAATTGTTTTAATGTATTTATTGTCAAACCATTTCATATATTCATTGCTATCGGCATGTTAAGAGCATTCCATGGAATATGACAAAAAGTGTTTCTGAAGTAAATTACATACCCCACCTTCAAGGGGAAAGTTAAGGGAAATTGAATTTACAGCGCTGAGCGAACAATCCTCTTAAATTACTTCATAGCCAATTTATTTGGACTAGATTATCCCAGAGAGTCTAAACGTTCGTTATAACCATAGGTTATAACACAGTTTTAGATTTTTAAAACCTTTATTCTATATGTGAAAATACAAAAAAGGGAGATTTGGCTGCTTTTTTCGCATCTTGACCACATTAGACCAGGTCCTGATCTAAGACCACTATACCTAGACTCATCAAATCTGGAATGGATTATCTAGACAATCCCTTTTTTGGCAAAACAGTATTAGTGACGGCCATCTTGGTGACGTGTGTTGTTGTGCGAGACCAGAGATGTAGTTCATTGAGCGGTTTCACACAAAAAAAGTTTTACTTCACAGTTTTACGACAAAACATTTTTTTTTTTACTTGCAAAATTATCTTTTAAATTGACAAACATCATATGTGTAATTCGTGGCACAATTCAAACGGGATCGAAAGATAACTTTTCTCTCGCCATTGACTTCAATACATACTTTTTCCGAAATAAGGTCCCATGGAGGTCCACCGGAAAGGGAGGGACTTCGCCTCTCAGTCAGATGAGCACTTTTCTCCTTTNGCAAGATTATACAAAAAACAAATGACCCCGAACATGAAATACCTTCACGGAGAGCTTCGAGGCGCAAGCTGTCATCCAAAGAACAGGAGGGTTTATTTAGCGCCTCACTGCAATCTTTAAAGGTCGTTTTCTCAAAATGAGTTTTTTCTCCTACTCTGAGTTCGAAATTTCAACTTCAGTAGCACGTAGACACACCAAACCTTCCAGTTATATTCCTATCAATATTATGAAGGCTTTTGCCTTGTACTGTCACACCGGTGTGACAGTACTCTTCAAAGGGTTCACGAAATATGACTACTACTCTTACTGTTTAACATTTTGGGTTACTTAATGTTACTTCATGTTAAGGCTAATAAAAATGACAAGACTAGGGCTGTAATGCTAACTAACGTCAAGGTGTCACTTTTTAAAGCTTTCTGTACACCATTGTACACGGCTCACCTGTGGAGTAACTACAAGTCTAGCAGCATGCAAAAACTAAAAGTTGCATACAATGATGCTTTACGGTTGCTGGTGAGGGTACCAAGATGGCACAGTGCCAGCCAGCTGTTTGTTAACTTGGGGGTACCTTACTACCTGTCAAGCTCTTTTAAGAAATGTAATGTACAAATTCATGTGTCGCCAAGAAGAGTCAGACAATCATTTTATCTCGATTTTAATTAACCCTGTGAAGAGTTCTACTGGGTTCTCTTCCATGATTTGGAGACATTGGCGCAACAGCCTCTACAGACAGTGAGCATATATGTGCGGCTACTAGCTGTAATTGGACTGATTTTATGTTTTTCATCTGTTTTTTTGTTGGGTATTTTGTCATTTTGTATGTGATATGGACCTTGAGTCTGAAATAAAGATTGAATAACGTGCTTGCTACTAGCTAGGTAGCTAACTTGATCTACTCACTCCTGGTCCTTTCATCAGACGGGAAGCGAAAGAACGAGCAAGACCCATTGCTGTTATGATTACAACCTGGTACTAAGCACACAGGCATCTTGTTAAAGTTACCTTATCTTAGCTATCTCTTATTTGGTGGAGGAAAAAAATTATTGACTTCAATACATAATTTTTCCGTGTCGGAAGTAGATGGGCGGGACTTCGCCTCTCTATTTCAAAATAAAAGCCCAGGTTACCGCCCTTGAGTGTCGCACTGCGCATGCTCAGCGTAGTAGCTGGTTATGGGAGAAGGGTCCAACCTGCAGCCGCAGCAACGGTGGAGGTCGAACCAAGCCCCCAGGAAGCACGCCGGACTCTGAGGAAAATATTCGTTGTGGCCAAACGGCGGTAGTACACCTCCGTATCAGTCGCTGGGCCCGGAAATACTTTTTCCCATTGACTAATATTGGGAAAGAGACGTCTGTAAATAGTTTGATATTTTTTGTTAACTAAATAAACTACCCAGTATGAACATTTGTATAGCCCTTATTAAAAACATTCGGTCCTCAAATTGTAAAATGTGCTAATAACGTTATTCCGAGAGTTATTTTCCTCGGCATTATGAACGCGGATCTCCCACGGGACCGCGCTGCCCGGCACATTCATGTGACGTGTTCAGTAATACATGAGTTTTACCTTTACCCATGGATGCACAATAAGAAGGGATTATATGATAATATCAGGATTATATGAATACTTTCGTGACATTTCGCTCTCTCAAAAATTGGGCCATCTTGGCTTCATGCGCCAATGAGCAACTGTCATAGGAATGAACGAGGCCCCGCCTCCAACGCTGTGGGGAACGCCTGCTATTCTGGGGTTAAGGGCGTTGATTGTCTGATTTTTTCACGTCATGTCTGTAAACCTAATTAAGTCCGGTTAGCTCAGCTGGTTAGAGCGTGGTGCTAATAACGCCAAGGTCGCGGGTTCGATCCCCGTACTGGACAAGAGTATTTTTTCCTCACACCCTAAGTTGATACGATTGACCAGAGTATCAAAAGGGGGGGATAAAAGGGAATCAAATTAGTAAATAACTGCAAATAAGTGTCTATTTCAACACGGAATAATTTTACGGGTTAAACAAGTATTTCCACAAATGAAAAATGACATTTACAATAGAAATAAATGCATACAAAATAAATCATAAAGGAAATAAAAATACAAACCCAAATACAATAATAACTAAATGTATTGCTAAATGTATAAATACTCACATAAATAATGAAATAAATAAATTTTGAAATGCTGCAAAGTGGGAGCAATGTTTTTTTTTTACATTTACTTTTAAAAGTCCATGTCCAAATTGCACATCTTCACACAAGCAAGCAATGATTAAAAGGAAAGCACACAGACATTAGTAATAAAATGACAAATAAGTACACTACTGGCAGTAGTTTGAAGAACTAAGTTAGTGACATAAATAACACAGTATTGAGACCTCATAAAAAAAACTCTCTGGAGTGTTTCTTTAAATGTATGTTTTTAAATAGCAGTGATTATTGCACACTGCAATTGGTTTTGTGCACAATATTGTAACAGTGTGTGCGTGTTACCACCATTTAAAAAAAGAAAAAAAACTCCCACATAAAATAAGAAACCTGTTCACCAGTTTCTCCCAGTCCTTCAAAATAAAAGCCCAGGTCACCGCCCCTCTCTTTGAGTGTCGCACTGCGCATGCTCAGTGTAGTAGCCGGTTATGGCGGCGGTGGGTGTTTGTCCATGAGGTGGGGGACGCCTGCAATTCTGTCACAGAGCGATCCGAGCGAAGCGCTGCCATGGCCGGAATGTTTGACATTGATCTGGACCAGCCGGAGGAAAATGTCTCCGACGATGAGGTTGAGGAGGTACTTTAATGGGGGATGTTGAGCGTGTCTGCGGGGACTTGTCACACAGAAACTCTTCACGCAGAGCAGCTAGCTAGCTGTAGCTGTTAGCATGTAGCTGTTAGCATGCTAGCCGGCCAGCCACCGCAGGCCTGCTCCTGCAGCCGGGGCTCGGGCCTTTTCAACCCCGACAGCGATCATGACAGAGCTGTCACTTTTTTTCTGATTTTATATTACATGTAAGGTCAGCTAGTGGTGAAATGCATGTATTGTTCAGGCTATCCCGGGTCAGAAAGCATCGCTGTCAAGTTGGAGTTGTGCAAACAGAGCCTTACTTGGCCAAAGGTGCTGCAGTGATAAATGTGGCTCAGTGTGCAACAGTTTATTTTGGCAAGGCTGCAACAGAGTGGGACTGTGTGGACTTAAAGCTGCTGTGTTTCTGTTCACATTCAGTGTGAAATCCAGCAACACAGCACTACTGAAGACTCGGCTTTCAACTGGAAATAAGTCAAAAACAATTGATCTAAATTATATTTATGAATTATAGTGTAAATACTGCTTTATGCTATTATCATACAAGTACAGCAAACCCATCATCACTGGCTGTTATAGATTATAGACTTTGAATAGAAAACAGTTAACCCTCAACTGCACACACATACACATGTACATTTCTTTATTCTTTAGGATAAAAAACGTTGACCTAATACACATACAGCACTGATTGGGCAACTATTACAACAGAGCAGCTCTTGTTTGTCAGATCAGTGTCTAAGATGAAACCTTTGTAAACGGGCAGACAGTATGAATGTTGTACCATAGAATATAATACAAGTTGGGAGGCAACTTTTAGATTATTTCCCTGATTTTAAATCTGAAAATGAACTCCTCTTATAACCGATCAGTGGTCTGGCCTATGAAGCGGTATCTTCTTCACCTTCTCATGTCTTCTCTTGGTTGGTTGACCAAAACCCCCAAAATGCTCCCTTTTAGAGTAAGAGTACAGTGTTAGGAAAAGCAGCACATCCTAAAACAGGAGAAGCTGGAACATGAAGATTACCATTCAAATAGGCTTGCTGAGTCATTATCCTCATTATAGCTATTGATTTGTAAAGGATGACATGTATTATGAATGCTTTATTATCATAGTATTGAACTCACAATGTCTTTCAAACACAAGAAAGAAATGGAAAATGTCCTTGAGATGAAAAGCTCCTACAGAGTGGTCAAAATGTTTTACAGCAGTTAGCACTTATAAGAAAATGTTTGTGTTTCAGCAGCATAACATACATGGCATTGTACAATAAAGTAGAAAATGTACATGTTGAATTTACAAATTAACAATAACAAGATATAAAGCAAGGTATTATATTAACATAAGTATGTGACGGATGGAATATTAAATATTAGACTGAATATAGTGAAGAGAAAAACTGGAGCAGAGAATTATTATCAAACATAAAAGCTTAATGACTTGTGTTTATGATGTGGTTCCTATTTTCTTCCAGGTTGAAATCAGTGATATCATGGACCAGTGCACTGGATTTGAGTTGTGAGTACTCGAGTTAGCCTTCTGTGCTTGTGTTCACACATTATTTTTCTTTTTGACAAGAGCACAATGCATTAAATCCTGTGTCTGTGCAGCAACATGGACGACTGTGAGAAGATCGAGATATCGGAGGACAACGTGAACCAGGGGACGGAGAACATCCGACCGACTGCCAAGGCACACNAGCCAGGACGTTTTCAGGGGAGCGAGAGGGAACTGTGAGAAAGGGGGGAGAAAGGGAGGATCTTAAAAGAGGCATGTGAATTAGAACAAGAGGGACTGTGTAGGAGCCAAAACGTTGATTTATTATTTTGATTATTTAATGGAGTATAATTGATTGGTGTCATTTGATCGGGATCCGCAGCCACGGTGGGGCGGAGCAGCTGATTGGTGCTGCGATGGCCTCAGCCGGTTAAAAGAGTCCTGCTGATTATACTCTGGGTTCTATTTTGGTTGTGAAGCCACACGGTCTTTTAACCGCTGCATTGCACTGCAGAGAAAATAAGATTTGTTTATTTAAATGACGAAAACTGTTTCAACATACCAGCTATACCACAAATAACAACATATATACCATCTGGAACAACTGTCAAGATACGCTCATCATTTCTTTTTTTGCACCACATCTAATGAAACACATCCTTTTTTATTTTTTTATTGAGAGAAACAAATCTTGAAACAACCACAAAATACTGAAGAGGAAAGTGGTGTTTAATTCTAAGTTGTGGAATTATTGAGCGGTTGAAATGTGTTTTGAATATGACAACTGCACTCCTAAACTTTCCAATAATTAGTATGAGTGTAAAGATGTGGATATATATGTCATTCAAACCCATTGAAGCAGGTACATTTAGCTTGAGATAATATGATACAATTACAATTTAAAAATGTTTCATGACAAAAAAACAAGAAGGGACGTTTTACATATATTTAAAAAATCACCCTACATGTCATTTCTTAAGTGTTTGTCTGATGTAATTTGACAAATGTCCACTAGAGGGCAGCCTTTCCAAAAGCATGTTGGAGCTAGAGCCATTGCATCAAAAAGGCGTATTTGGAAGAGATATGGTTCAAAGTAACAAATAAAAAACAGATATGTAATTTAAGTATTGTACTATATGTAATAGTAGGTACTCGTAATAACTGAAAGCAACAGCCAAATCAGGTGTGAGGTTGGGCAGTGTTTTAAATGTATTCACTTAAATCCCAACATGTGCACGTGTTTCTGTTTTGTACAATTTTGGTCTGAGATCAGTGTAATAAAGAACAGCTGTAATTAACTGCATCACAATCCCCCAACGCGCAGGACTGGCAAACAGCGGAAAGTGTTTGCTTTTTAAGTGATCACAGACAGTGAGCAGGGAAGCCAGAGAAACAAGGAGGAGGTGTGCAACACAGGACAGGAGAGAGAGACACGGTGTTGGACCAGGGTTGGAGTTGTTGGGTTGGAAAAGTCTGAGAGGACGGGACCTGCTGAGACGGAGACTTGGTTGTATATTTACCGTCCTCCAGGGTTTTGACGACGACCTGCTGAGAGGACGGCCCGGTGCCCGCCCTGTTGGCCGCCTGCACCACCACGCTGTACTGAGTGAACTTCTTCAGGTTGTCCAGCATGATGCTCTCCATGGTGTCTCCGCTGGTGTCCAGGCTGAGGATGGTGAACTGGTGGCTCCCCCCCGGGCTGTACTCCCTGTAGCCCACCTGGTAGCCGCGGATCACCCCGTTCTGAAGGTGCTTCTGTGGAGGCTGCAGGGCGAGGAAGAGGAGAGGAAAACTGAGCTTATTACTCGGTTTCACCTCAGTGGTGGAGACAAACTCACTAGTTTCCCTCCATCAGAAAACACAGTGGAATACTTTTTGAAGTAAACACTAACAGGAACACAGTATGGGCTCTGCAGTGTGTAAAAACTGGTTAATGTAAAAGAAAATGTGAACAGACTCGGGCAGTTACAGAAAACCTCGATCAGTGCTGCCACCATTTTAAGTTACGTTGCTGTCGCTGCAGTTCTAGACGTTTTTAGGGGAAGCATGACGATCATTTTCAATCGGTCAAATCATTTTACATATGTATTTCAGGGCTGTACTTTACCTTCCAGGAAACTTTGATGCTCTGTGGGGAGGTGGGCTCCAGAAGGACATCCTGTGGGGGGCCGTCAGGGGCTGCAAATAAAGAACATTATTCAATATTACTGCACATTTTTCAAGTTTCACTTTCAAACTTTCGGGGGAATTTTCAGTCAAATACTTTAAAAGATGTTCATACAGTATAGATAAGTACATAAATAAACAGTTTAGCGGCTAAATTATAAAGACATACAACAGAAAATGAACTGGCGCTGAGGCACCAGCTAGCAAATCTTATGCAGCCAAAGTCCAGGTTAAAGGACTACTTCAATAACTTAAAGGTCACCTATCGTGCTATTCTTAGGCAATAGCATAGGTCTCAGATATATACAACAATATAAAAAACATGTCTATGAAGTGTTTTGCTCAGAATACCAAACAGATCACCCATTCTAGCCATGCCTCATATCCCTCTATTTCACTTCCTGTTTCAAAAGTGCTGATTTGGGGTATAAAGCTTAATGAGCTCATGCGGGACCCGGCAGCTACTGTCTAAACTAACTACTGCCGTGATGAAACGCCATATCATGGATTATCAAGGATTATTTCTGAAACAGTATGGAGCTCAAAGGCTTTCTCTCTTGCCGGTTATACCACAAGGTGAGTTCCTTTTTATTTCCTGCTTCTTCACACACATGCTCTCCAGTACAGGTTAGCTCTGAGTGTTAGCGATGCTAATGTAAACACCGACCATATTACGTCCAAAACAGTCGGGCATTGTTTCTGATAGCAACGTTTCTGATAGGGCCGTGGGTCCACATTTCAGTATAAAAGACATCAAAAAGTGCATTTTGCATGATAGGAGACCTTTAAATAATATTTCTAAAACAATAAACATTTACTTTTAATAAAAACAGCAAGGACTTTTTTAGTTTTTCAGACCATTTACATGCACACAAAGCTGTATAGTACACAGGTCCTCTCTTAATGGAAGAGATGATAATTTTTATCCCGTTCACTAGATGGAGCTGTTGCTTTTCTAATGGATTTTCCTCCATGCTCTTTTTCCTTCAAGTGTCTTTACATCTCAACTAAATGTTCATTTAAAAAAAAGAAAAAGAAATAAAGTGTAACATCATCAACTTTAACCTTTAAAATAAATTGAGGATACATGTTTTATTTAATTTGAAGTTTACGACTCTATTTTAGCGATGAATCCAGTAAGATGGGGCGTTTTAATGTGCTGGTATGCCTGTGGGGGGGGTCATTAGAGGCAATAGAGGATAAGTGAACACTGATGGAGCCGACTAAAAGCAACAGAGAACTGATCTGTTTCCCCAGATAGAAAAAATGATGGCTCCATTTCAAACCACCATAAAATAATGATGTGTTAGATGGCTCAACAGGTTTGAGGGCCAGGAGAAAATGGACACTAAACCAGCGTTTAGACAGGAAGTCAATTCTCTTTAGAGAATTAAAATAAATTATAGTGACAGTTCAAAGTTAATATTAGCCAAATTACCTTTTAAGAGTGATTTGGAGAAAAAGAGTAATTCTTTATAGCCTATTTGGAGAAAAAATGTGTCCAATAGCAAAGTAGTTAAAATACATACATGAAATAATAATAAATATAATAATAATAATCGTTTTTACATGTGTTTTTATGATTATTAAAAATGTTTACTGGCACATTAAGAACCTTTATTAGAAATGCTCTGTTATTAAAATGTATAATTATAATTATTATGTATTTATTATACATCGAGCCCGAGCGTCGATTTCCAATGATTTCATGTAATTGTTTGGCTGTCTGGCCATCGTAATCGGGCTCTTTGAAAATCCAAAAATCCACGGTTTTCTTACATTTCTGATCGGATTGGCAAAAACTTCAGAATTTGTATTGACCGCCATTCAAATGACAGCTTTGATTTCCCCCAAAAGTGGCGGAGCCGTCATTTTTGCCGGGAAGTGACGCATGTGTTACTCTCATGTATAAAGCAGAAAGCAGTACGTTACTATCTCTCTAAAACAGTTTAACATGTCATGTGACAGCTACCTGCTTCATCAGTGGTGATGGTCAGCTCGTTGCTGGGGTTACTGTTGCCGATGATGTTCTTGGCGACCATGCGGATGTTGTAGGTGGACGAAGGGTGGAGGTCGATGATTGTGGCCTGGTTGAGCTGAGGGGAAACATCTTTGGTAACCTGGGCTGATAGCCATGACGCTGGAGGAGAGAGAGAGGGGGGGAACAGACTGTTACGAACACAGAGTCATGTTTCAAGAATCTAATTACATTATTTCCAGTTTGCTGTGAAGCCACGTTTCAGCAGAAAGCTTTTATTATTAGCAATAATACTATGTTAAATACATATAGATACAATTATTTGTTCTTATGTTTATCTAAATATCTTTATTTGATCTTTTTTGAGTAACTGCCAAAGAACCCAATTTTAATATCTTGATTTTACCTTTTGATAACACATTCTAACCTTACTGTAACTTTTTTAAATGTTATGTTTGAATAACCTCTTACAGTTAGTACAGAGTTGAAATAAATACAACTATTTGTTCTTATGATTATCTAAATATCTTGATTTGATCGTTTTACTGCACATTCTTCCTTTCATTTTGTATCTTCTTTTTAAGTCATTTTTTATTTCGTTCAATAATTTAGCAACTGCCACAAAACCCAATCCCCACCTGACATAAATGCATTATTGTTATGTTGTTCTAAATCAATTTATTTTATCCTTTTATCACAAATTCTTACTTTAACTTGTTATTTTTCAAAACATATTTATTTACTTTTAGTCATTTTATTTTTTATTGCGTTCTAATATTGAGCAACTGACATAAAACCACATTTCCAAGAGTTACATAAACTATCCTTATGTTTATCTAAATGTATTGATTTGATCTTTTTATCTCACGTTCTGACTTTTTGTGTACAAATGTTTATTTTTATTTATCTTGTATTGTTTATTTTAATTAGTTCTTATACTGAGCAACTGCCCAATTTCCCCCCCGAGATAAATATTCAGTTTTGATTCTGATACTTCATCCTAGTTTTCATCAAAGAACTGAACACTGTATGATTTCCTGAACCTGTGTCTACCTGATTTGTTCTTGCATTCGATATCATATCCTGTGATGGGGCTGTTCCCATCGAAGCCCATGGTCCAGCGCAGAGCGATGGTCCGGTCCTTCACCTCCCGGATCTCCACCTCCGGAGGGTCGGGGGCTTCTGCGGAGAACCGAGAACACAACATAGTTAAAGCAGCAGCGCTGAAACAGAACTGGACGAAAGAGAGATGTATTGGCTTTACTCTGTGTGGGATTTCCCCTGTGAACAATTACAGAGAGAGGGAGTCACCCTGTACAGCAGGGATGTCAAACTCAAGGCCCGGGGGCCAAATCCGGCCCGTGACTTCATTTGATGTGGCCCACAAGAGCTTGCAAAGAATATAATGTGTTTATTATACGGTTACATGCCGATTTACAGAAGCACGTTGCCAATAAACTACATGTCCCACAATGCATCTGAAATGTGACTTTTTTTTCTCAGAATCTGACTTTTTTTTCTTCAAAATATGCCTTTTTCTTAGAATTGGCCTTTTTCTCTGAGTCTGACTCTTTTTTTTTCAAAATGTCACTTATTTATTTTGGCTTTTTTTTTAACATTTTGTGACATTCTCACTGAAGAGACTTGCAATTATTGGCCCTAGACTTCTGCTTTCAGACGTAGTTAATTATGAAGTTATTACCCTATCCAATAATAATCCAATGTAGGGGCAATAATGTAATATAATACATTATTTTATATATATTAAATATTTGTAATGTATTTTTATATAGTCTTATATATAAAACTGGCCCTTTGAGTGCAACCATGATGCTAATGTGGCCCGAGATGAAATTGAGTTTGACACCCCTGCTGTACAGCAATTAGATATATGAAATGAATTAAGTAATAAGCGCTTGAACATTTCTCTTCACCTGGAGGAAAAGTTCTTCCCGAATGAAAAAGATATGAGCTGAGTGTTACCTTGCACTGTCAGCTGTATGATGCCTCGGTCCTCCCCGAAAGAGTTGATGGCGTGACAGGAGAAGAAACCTGAGTCCCCACGAACAGTCGGCATAATCTAAGAGGAGAAACAGAGAGAGAAATTATGCTAAAAAAAAGGCTTATCTTAAGGCTCATATTCCTTGCAATTTTACAAAATTGCTTTACACATGTACTCGTTCACACACTGCGTTTTAATAACCATTAAACTGAACTGAGAGGGAGCTCTTTAATATTTTATACTCTACTTGAATATTTTAGGATTTTTTTTTTTACACGTTTTCCCTTAACTTCCTCTCTCTCTCCGCTTTCCATCTGAATAGAGAACAGACATATGGACAGGCTGTGGGCTCCTTAAATGAGACAAGGGCTGCCCCCTTATAATAAGGAAAAAGTCCTCAGTCCTGCAACTGAAACAATTTTGTGAAGAAATACTAGGGCTGTGCAATTAATCGTATTTTAATCTCGAAATAAAACGATTATAATTTTATTTAAAAAAAAAAAAAATGTAATTATCTTTTTTTTTTTTATTGGTTTTTCAGTTGAATTATACTTAAAGTTCAGGGTAATCAACTGTTAAAAACATACTGTTCACATTTTTACAATAAATGGATGTTTTCAAAGTAAATGGATAATCGTTTTTAATAATCGTGATGATGATTTTTGCCATAATCGCACAGCCCTAAGAAATACTAGTACTATTAACGACTACTCAACGAATCACTTGAATTGACGACTTCTGGTCTACCAGGAAAGTCTCAGATGAGGTTAGCCCTGAATGAGAGGGACAAACGTAGCTCACCACCAGCGGCTGGTGGTGAGCTACGTTTGTCCCTCTCATTCAGGGCTAACCTCATCTGAGACTTTCCTGGTAGACCAGAAGTCGTCAATTCAAGTGATTCGTTGAGTNCAGAAATGTTTGAATCTGTCCGGGGCTCTGTGATAGCCTACATACAGTAGCTGAACTTACGACACTAAGTTAGGAAGAAAGGGGGGACTATGAACAGGGCCGCCGCATGCGAACAGGCAAGGCAGGCAACTGCTTGGGGCCCCGGACCAGAAGGGGGCCCCCAAAGAAAGTAGATTAAGAAGGTCCACAGCAACGACAACATGAAACACACTTTAATTGACTGCAACGACATGTCGGGAAACCCCCTCAAGGCGGCCCCATGCATAGCGAGCCGTAAAATGCTGCTTCTTATCTTACATTTCGTTACCTTGCTCCGCTCCGGGGGGGCTGTGCGTGGTGATGAAAAGCTGGTTCGAGGGACCCCCAGTGAATGTTTGCCTAGGGCCCCCACAGACTCTAGAATCTGCACTGACTATGAATGTATGTTTTTTTGTTTTTTACATGTATGTGTATGTATGCGTGTAAGTAAATGTGTGGGTATGGGTGTAGGTAGGTACATATATATATATATATGTGTATATGTATATGTGGGTATACATATGTGAGTATATGGATATATGTATTATTGTTGTTATTCTTTATTTCCTTATCTATTAATTTTTTTTAATTATCTTTTAAATTACTTTATTTGGACCTATATATGTATTTATTTACTTTAATAGCTAGGACCGGGAGGGGGGGGAAGGAAAAATATAGACCGTGTAAATGTAACTCATTGTGCCGGACTCAATAAAAAAAATATATATATATAT